CTTGAATCATCCCAAAACCATCCCCTGTCCAACACTGGTCCATGGAAAAACTGTCTTCCATGAAACTGGTCCCTCGCATCAAGAAAGTTGGGGATGGCTGTAGTATAGCATTGTGGCTACATTTAGTAATAATGCGCTGTATACTTCAAGACTGCTAAGAGAGTAGATCTTCTTTAATTGACACAAAAATTGTATTTATATGGTATACAACATGATGTTTAGTGAAATGGCTAAATCAAGCTAATTAACACATCCATTATCTCACATGCTTATCCTTTTTTTGTAGTGAGAACACTAAAAATTAACAGAATAGATTTTGGATATTTTCACTACAAAAAAGGTAATGTGTAAGTAATGAATACGTTAATTAGGTGGTAATCATTTCACAATGTGTGTGTGTATATATATGTATACACATTACATTGTACACATTACATAAACATATACAAATTTACTCATCATTATGCCTCAATAAAGAAAACAATGTGAAAAAATTGTTTTAAATTGTACATTGCTATCTCATCATTGACTTAAGAAAAAGAACAACTAAAATCGGGTAAGCAATTTGCCATTAGCTAAATAAGCTTTGGATAGTGACCTGTATTTGTGGTTCCTTCTGTTAGGTTCAAATGCTGCATGTCCCTCATACTGTGTGCAGCTTGTGATTTTGTACATTACAGCAACACCTTAAATGAATGGGCACTATCTCTCCTGCAGCATCACCAAAGAAGAGTAACCTGATGTAAAAGCTAAAGGAAAGAGTGGCTGTACTCTGTTGAGTGAACATCTCTCAGTCTCTAAGATAACATCTTTCCAGGAAATTGTGAAGAACTTTTTTTTTTTTACTATGTTAAACTTAAACCATATATTTTGATTTTAGAATGTAATCCATGATGTTCTATACCCAAAAGATTACAAATCATTATATTATAAAGACACATGCACACATCAGTTTATTGTGGCACTGTACACAATAGCAAAGTCTTGGAACCAACCCAAATACCAATAGACTGGATAAAGAAAATGTGGCACATATACACCATGGAATACTATGCAGCCATAAAAGAGGATGAGTTCATGTCCTTTCCAGGGACAAGGATGAATCTGGAAACCATCATTCTCAGCAAACTATCAAAAGAACAGAAACAAAACACTGAATGTTCTCACTCATAAGTGGGAGCTGAACAATGAGAACACATGGACACAGGGAGGGGAACATCACACACCAGTGCCTGTTGAGGAGTAGGGGGATAGGGAAGGGATAGCATTAGGAGAAATACCTAATGTAGATGACAGTTTGATGTGTGCATCAAACCACCATGGCATGTGTATACCTATGTAACAAACTTGCCCCTTCTGTACATGTATCTTAAAATGTAAAGTATAAAAATGAAATAATAATAATAATTAGAATCTAAACCGTATTTGTGGGGAAAAACTTCTTACTTTAAGGTCTAATAAAATTTATCCCAGGCAAAGAGTAAACTGCATTGCCTTTTATCTTGTTGACTATGAACAGATAAATAATTCTGACTCCAAAACTGAACACACACACACACACACACAAACACATGTATTATTTTATTGAATGACCCTTTACTCTATTTTTCTATTATGTTTTTTAATAACCAGTCATCACTCAGTAAATTGATTTCAAGACCCACAGAGCAGTCATGGCCCAAAATTTGAAAACTTGATGAGATATTAAGGCCCAAAAGGAATTATTCCAGGAGAAGTTGTGACTAGATTTCCTCATAAGCCTCTAAAGTTTCATCCCTAGAAGTCTATGTAAAAGGTCAGAAAAAAAATCCTTTATTTGAACAGAAACACACCTGTCCCCCAGGAGCTTCTTTATGACTTCATCAGGGCAAAACTCCTCCATACTGACTTCCATCATCAAGAAAATAGTGCCAGCTCTAGGATCCAAAATGGTTCAGTACATCTAAACATGTATCCTACAGCGGGAGGAGGGAAGCACTGTATACCACCCAAATTTTGCTTTGCATTATATGTGATAGGGAACACAACGGAGGATGAAGACTAATAGAGCTTCAAATTGTTCAAATTGTGATTTAAAGAATCAAAGTATATTTGAATCCAGATAAATGATTTTTTTAGCTAGATCCTAAAATACAACTATAATTCAGATAAAATCATTGTCAGAAAAATGAAGGAGATGAAAAAGTAACCTATTGAACCCACATAACTGGTAAGATGATAAAATGAGTAACTAAATTTTCAAAATAAAAACCACCCCTTTAAATTTCTCTATATGCTGGCTGGGCACTGTGGCTCATGTCTGTAATCCCAACAGTTTGGGAGGCCGACGCAGGCAGACTGCTTGACATCATGAGTTCTGGACCAGCCTGGCCAACATGGTGAAAACCCGTCTCTATTAAAAATATACTTTGTAAAAATACAAAAAAATATGTACTTTATTAGCTAGGCATGGTGGAGTACACCTGTAGTTCCAGCTACTTGGAAGGCTGAGGCACAAGAATCACTTGAACCTGTGAGGCAGAGGCTTCAGTGAGCCAAGATTGTACCACTGCACTTCAAGTCATGGATGTAGTTGACATTCATAAGGAGCAACAGTGTGAGAATCCATTTCAAAAAATTAAAATGAAATAAATAAAATTTCTCTATATGCTATCATAATCACAATGAAAAATAATATTCCATTTTTCAAGCAAGTCCAAATGTTAAGAGACGAACCAACCCAAAATAACTCAAATAAGTATAATAAAAATGTATATATTATATACTCAAATAAACAAAAGAATCATTAATTCATTTAAAGTAACAACCCTTGAGCATACTAAAATAAAGGATCATACTGACTTTTAACCTTTTTTTCTGATTTCTGTGGCATATCCTTACTTTTATGTCTCCCAACTAGCCATTAATGATTGTGATGGAAGAAAAGATTGATCTTCTGTTTTTATGGGATTCTTGGAGAATATTTCAGGTATTTTCACATAACAATGCCAAATATAGGCTAGGATCATAACACAGTAAGAAACACATTTGTCTAGGGCAGAAGGACTGAATGTGCTTTCCACTTTGGAAATTACAGGCATCATTGCTTCTATGCGTCCTAAGATATCATTATTACTTTTATACGATTTATGGCTTCAAGTATGAAAGATGGTGCAAAGATCCTGTGCCAAATTCCCATATGGCATATAACATGAGCCAAACTGTGAAAAACTCATAAATGTGGATAGATCAGTTTCATCAAAGAAAGGAATAAGAGGGTTCCAGAGACTGAACAGGAAACTAGCCAGGTAACTTCTTATAGTCATGTAATTCCAAAGCAGCAGTAATGAACACTGTCCTGTCCTGACTATACAATGCTTGAGGTACACATAAAGATGGTAAGGAAGAAATTAGGCAGAGATGATTTAAGACACTATAACAACCCTGTTTATTCTTTCGTAAATCTGCCTTTTTATTTCTCTTTTTGGACTAAGGCTGAAATTGGTATTATAATTTTTAAATGATTTCAAAAGAGATAAAATAAAATCATTGGAAGTATCCCGTAAATATAATAATTATAATCCCATGGAGTATAACTGAAAAAATAACAAGTTATTTTTAAAAGATCATATACCTGTTATTTAACAGCATACTAAAATACATCAACCAAAATCAATAAGCAAATATTTTGTATATCACAAAAATGTTTTTACATGCATTTCTAAGATGTTGAATATCTTTGGATAAATTTCCTGAATTCAATTCAAGCATTATGTATTATCTACATGATACATTCTGAAACAAGAACTTGAGCAAAGGTAAAATATAAGAGTTGAAAACAAAAATCAACAGAAGAAACTAGGACATTATATTAATAACTTTAAGAAAAAGAGGAAGGTAGAGAGAAGGAAAGAGAAGGTCACACAGAAGGAAGGCAAATATTTAGTCATTTTAGGTATGGTTAATGCAGATAAAAGGATAAAAAGATGGAGAAGTAGGTTGAGGTCATGATCCAGAGAACTCTGAATGACAGGTGAAGGTGTACATACCATCACATATGTAGGCACTGGCAACCTACTTTTAATATTAGAGTATGAGAGTGATATACTAGAGTGATGCTTTGGCATGATTTTCCTGGTAGGACTGATTGCAGCAAGAAATGATAGGCCTAATTAGATGAGTATTAAAGCAATTCGGAGGAAAAATAATCATAATGTTGGAATGGTAAAGGAAGGGATGATTGTGAAGGTGATGAGATACTGTAAAGGGTATAGTCTTTATATCTGGCTTCTAATTTTATAAAGGGACCAATACTGAATAAAGAGACAAGGATAATTACAGGTTTTTGTCATTAAAAGAGGAAATTCCAAAAGAAAAGTTATCTCAGGCAATGAGAATGAAAAAGCCATTCTGGGGCATGCTGAATACATTATGTCTAAAAGATGCCCAGTCATAAATGTGAGTCTGAAACTTGGGATTAAAGAAAATAAATCATTTGGAATTCATCAGTATGGTGTTGATAGCAGAAGTCTTGGATGTAGTTGACATTTTTTAAGGAGAGAAAACACAGAAGTTCACAGGCAAAGAATCCAGAATAACCCTCTGAGGGGAAAGGAAGTAAAAAATGTTCACTGAAATTGGCAGAAGACCTAGCAGAGCATACTACAAGGATCCCGAGGATGAAGGGAATTTCAAAAAGATAATGTAAATAAAGTATCAAACCTTCTGGAAAGAAGGAACAGAATAAAGACTTTATAATTACTAAATCCCATGGCCCACAAATTAATTTGATAACTATGTTAAGAAAAACTAGGCACTCTGCTTATGAGGACAGTTTCAAAAGGGAATGGAAGACAGAAAGGAGGCTGTGAGGGGTTATGGCCCAAGTGAGTGATACAATGCAGAAGATCTTCCCCAGTCGTTCCATCATACACAGTTGCAAAAGCTTTTTCTAAAGATAAAAATTGAAAATCACAGCAGCAAATCCATAAAAATCAATAATAATATTAATAAGCTTTTACCTTCTTATGATTCTTGTAAACATTTCTGTGGGCAAATCCCTTTCCACAAAGTTTGCATTTGTAAGGTTTGTCTTCACTGTGTATTACTTTATGAGCACCCACTTGATCAAGCCTCTTGAAAGACTTATTACAAATCTCGCATTTATAGGGTCGTTTTTCTGTTAAAAAAATGAGTGCAGACAATCTCATATATATGTGTGTGTGTTTGTGTGTGTGTGTATATATAGGCAAAGGAACATCCTTACCTTACGTTACTTCTTATGGTAAGTAAACTAAAGCATAGTCAAACAACTAAAAAACACCTACCACCCAGTATACCTATGTTAGGACAAATGTGCCTACTACCAAATGAAATATGAGCTTGTTATCTTACAGATGTATTTTGAATTTTTAGAGTGGTTAGATATAAAGAAAAGGTTTAAATTTATGGAACAAATCCTATTTCCAGATGAAAACCATGCTGATACATGAGAGTTTAAATCAGGGTCAGGGCCTCAAATGCAGAAAGTGACCTGACAGGGACTCAGGTAAAGAACACAGCTGCCTCCCCCCTCCCCTCCGGGCCACACAGGCCTCATGGAGGCAGAACTTCCAATGCTCAGCAGGAACCAAACATTTAGATTGGCATGTAAAATCTGCATTTATGCAATATCCATATAACATTGATGCTGAAATAAAAAATACACAACATGTATCAAATAAAGCATACCTACAAGATAACAGGTATTGATCTCTGATTTTAAATTACTAAAATACTCATATGTATCTACAAAGTGCATATTCAAAAACATTCTGATTTCAATCACCTTAAATTATAGACATCTTAAACTCTAGAGATTCCATAAAGTAAAAATTATTTTCGGAGCTGATTTTTTTAGTCTGCATTAAGTAAAACAGACCTATTCCTAAAAGTTGCTTATATGAAACTACAGCTTTAAAAACTTATATACTCAAAATGTATTTATAGATTCCTTATTAACATTTATTAGTACCTTAGCTAGAATGTAAAAGTATCTAGAAATGCAGGAATTATAATTTTTGAATACCTACTAAATGCCAGACACTTTGCTAGCACAGTACCTAAATGATCGCATTTAACCTTCATGGCTAATTTGAAAGGTAGGTACCAGCAACCCATTTCACAGATGAAAAATAAACTGAAGCTCAAGGACAAATAAGTGACAAATTACTTGGTGATTCTGACGATCTTCGATATCATTTACTCTAAACACCTTTGCTCTGTAAATAAGCTGAGGTCTAGGGAATTAAGTAACTTCTTCATAATCATATGACTAGTAAATGTCCAAAGTAGAATTTATATCGAGGGCCCCTGATTACCACGCTTAGAGTTTATAAAAGTGACAATGTAATTCTTTTGTAATGATATCCATATAAACAAAAAAGTATATAGTTTACCTGAGTGAGTGATCATATGACGTTTTAGCTGATTAGCTGAAATAAATTTCTTCATACATTCTTGACAATCAAATATCTCATGAATCTGCAAAAGTTAAACAGTTAAATCAACTGTCAAAGCCTAATAAATTACATAGTTCTAAAGCAAAAGTGTAAACATGTGACTAGTGTCTACTGCAATACCGACTATATATTATAGTTCAGCCCTAATTTGTTCACACTAACCTATATACATTGAAAATGCAATGCACGTAAGTTATCTAGTGAAAAAATATCATTTGAGTCATAAGATTCACAGTCCTTAAAAATGTAATATAACTGTCCTATTTAGTACATATTAAATTTATACTATGTAAAAATTATGCCTAATATATAATAACTCTTTTGTTATGCACAAATTTAGACTTGGAAATATGTAGCGTCCAGTTAGTAATACTTCCTTTACAGTAGTCAACAATAGTTTAAACTTAAATGTGCATAGTATAGAGTGCAACATTAATTACAGTAAAAGACTGAAGAGATAGGATTCTGAAAAGCATTTAGTTCACAATATAAGTTTCACATGAGCCAGATTCAGTGACTCACATTTATAAACCCAGCACTTTGGGAGGCCAAGGCAGAAGGAATACTTGAGCCCAGGAGTTTGAGACTAGCCTGGGCAACAAAGTGATACCTTGTCCCTATTGAAAAAAAAAAAAATTAGCCAGGTGTGGTAGCATATGTTTGTGGTCCCAGCTACACAGGAGGCTGAAGCAGGATGATCGTTTGAACCTGGGAACTTGAGGCTTTAATGAGTTGTGTTCATATTATTGCATTCCAGCATGGGTGACAGAGTGAGACTCTGTCTCAAAAAAAAAAAAAAAAAAAAAAAAGGCTCACATGACAGGAACACCACAATTTTAAAAATGAGGAAATCTAGTCAAAGGATCCAAAGTGGCAGATATGTAGGATGAGTAACTTTAAAGATTTAATGGACAATATGAAGATTACAATTAATAATAGTGTATTATAGTCAGGATTTTTGCTAAATGAGATTATAGTTGCTCTGTGCCACAGGAGGAAAAATGGGCAACTATGTGAGATAAAGGATGCATTAATTTATTTCACTAAAATAACCATTTTAACTATATGTGAATCTCATGATATTATGTTATATAACTTAAATATACAGAATAAAATTTATGTTAAAAGCACAATAAGGGGGGATATAACTTTAGTAAACAATTGGCTAATATAAATATTACAATTGAATATTAAATTAGTTCTTTCCCTCCCAGACACTAACACAGAGAAACTGGATAGGTGGTATGAAAAGTAGAAGTCTAGTTTTTCAGAAACCAAGTATTCAATTCTAAAAGGAATGTATTACATATTATATTAGAAATATTGATCATCCCAATGAACATCATCATCACGCTACCTTGCTAAATATTCAAAAATGGTTGTGATGAAGTCATGTTTTTGTTTCAACCTCATTAAGGTCCAGCTTAAAATACTAAATCCCAGAGAAGCAAAGGCCCTTGTGCAAGAAGCCAAGACAGTGTCCCTGCAGAATAACTAGGAACAACAGTGCAGAGTGAAAGATCTAGGCAAAAGTCCCTGAGTTGGTACAGCACATCAGTAATAAGTGGAGGACTCCACTGGCCCCTGATAAATGGTTCTCTTGATATAAGTGGCCATAGAAGGCCTCAAGGCAGGGAAACAGATGCTGGGACAAGGCTGACAGATCCCAGGCCTGCAGCCCATGGCTTAATTCAATGCCTAAGCACGTGGCAGGTCGAAGGCTGCCAACCAGCCTCTGCTTCGGTCAGGTCTGACTCTCGATGAGTCATTAAATCCAGTTACGTTAAGCAGGGAAAACGTAGAGAAACGAGGCAGAAGCCAAAATATGTCATTCCACAAGAGTCTGACTTATCTCCCCTGCTTACATGCAATAGCATCTATGAGGGGATCTCAGGAGTCCAAAGAATTCCTTTAGAAAGCATGTGGGCTCCGCAAAAAAATAATGGCCTGCACGCCTGCACAAGCGCTTGGAATGCTAGTGCCCCACAGCACAGAAGAAAAACTTACAGCCTGAGGCATGTTAAAGGCAGCCTCTACAATCATCAAAGACTTTCACAGTGGCTTCAGTTAAACACCTGTGTTTGAGGACCAGTGACATGACTTGTAATGTTTATTTAAAGATAGTAAAAGCAGATTTATATTATTAAACTCTATGTTTCTGTAATATATAACATATAATTTTATAATGACAAACAAGAGAGTCTAAGATGTCATACCTTCTGAGTCATATATAAATGAAAACTTTTGCTTGTTTTCATTTTTAATGTTAAAATGGTATTGATGTATACAATTATAAAAAATATGAATCCATATATAAAGTAGAAACTGTTAAAGAAAACACTGTTCATTTGTTTCATTTTTAAATGAAATAGTGTTTACTTCTTAACTCTCATGGCTTCAACGTGAAACTTTTTTCAAGGTTGAATTAAACTAATATTTCCAACATTATAAACGGAACATCTACTATATATTAAACCATTTTCATATTGACTATCTCATTGATAGTGAAAAATTCAAGTCAAAGCTATTTTTAATATTCCTTAAAAGTCTTAATAAAAAGATCATATTTAAAGTGAAAATGACAAGTGATACTATTTAATTATGCCAAATGCCCAATAAAGAATACTTTTATGAGATTTTATAAAATTTATAGCATACCAAATTAATTTGGAGGGTAATGTTTTAAAATTTGAACACCCAAATTATTTTCAAGAAGACTCATAATATACCCTATCATTATATGAGATAATACATAATAATTGAAGATACTAGAGTACTATAATCCTAGCATTTTGGGAGGCCAAGGCGGGTGGATCATGAGGTTCAGAGACTGAGACCATCCTAGCCAACATGGTTAAACCTCATGTCTACTAAAAATACAAAAAAATTTGCTGGGTGTGGTGGTGCATACCTGTATTCCCAGCTACTTGGGAGGCTGAGGCAGGGGAATTGCTTGAACCCAGGAGGTGGAGATTGCAGTAAGCCAAGATAGTGCCACTGCACTACCATCTTGGCGACAGTGCAAGACTCCGACTCAAAAAAAAAAAAAAAGGATACTATACTATAATTTCGCATTGTCATAAAGCATCATCTACTGGCAAGGTGAAATACTGCAACCAAATTCTATTAGACATTAGACATCCCAAACTATAAGAAAAGTTGCAATTGGAGTCAACAAAAGTTGCCTATGGATTCAGAAAGGCTGAATAGTGAAGCACTAAGGCTGAAATGGAGGAAGGGCTACAGTGAGCTAGCAACTTATTAACATTCTGCAAAGATCACTCAAAGGCATGAGTTATGTATGGTTTCTGTACTCCATTACCATCGCACAGGAGTTTCTGATGCTTGATGATCTGTCACTGTCTCCTATCACTCCCAGGAGAACAAACTCAAGGCTCTAATTGATTCTATATTCTGGTGAGTTGTATAATTATTTCATTATATACTATAATGTAATAATAATAGAAATAAAGTACACAATAAATGTAATGTACTTGAATCATCCCAAAACCACCTCCCCCAACCCCCTGTCCATGGAGAACTTGTCTTCCAGGAAAGCGGTCCCTAGCACCAAGAAGGTTGGGAACCATTGCTCTATTTGATAAAATAGCTTAAATTTCAACCTCTAAGATTAAATGGGTCAGAGAAATAAAACATAGAATTATAAAAGAGGATACTTAGAAGACATCTGTTCTAGTAGACTTCATTTTTTTTTCTCTTAATGATAAAAGAGGATACTTAGAAGACAACTGTTCTAGTAGACTTCATTTTTTTATCTCTTCAGAAGATGAACTGCTTTTGTCATAAAGGTTCCGCTTCAGAAGCCATAAGGGTGATGGTGAGGGAGGAAAAGGGTCCCCTGGATGGGTATTCCAGGCAAAATATCTTTTAAAAGCAGTCTCAGTGCTCCTTATTTTCTAATTTATTTATTTTTTATTTATTGTACTTTAGGTTCTGGGGTACATGTGCAGATCATGAAGGATTGTTGCATAGGTACACATATGGTAATGTGGTTTGCTGCCTCCATCCCCTCATTACCTACATCTGGCCTTTCTCTCCATGTTATCCCTCACTGATCTCCCTAACTCCCGCTGTCCCTTCCTTGGCCCCATCCAACAGACCCCAGTGTGTGATGCTTCCCTCCCTGTGTCCCTGTGTTCTCACTGCTCAACACCCACCTATGACTGAGAACACACGGTGTTTGATTCTCTGTTCTTGTGTCAGTTTTTAACAGCACTGTAACAAAGAAGATTAGCATAGCCTCTGCACAAGGACATACAAATTCATAAAGCATTCCATACCTCTAAACAATCTAATAATGCATTCCTATACATCAATAACAGACAAACAGTCAAATCATGAGTGAACTCCCATTCACAATTGCTACAAAGAGAATTAAATACCTAGGAATACAACTAACAAGAAATGTGAAGGACCTCTACAAGGAGAACTACAAACCACTGCTCAAGGAAATCAGGGAGGACACAAACAGATGGAAAAACACTCCACGCTCATGGTTAGAAAGAATCAATATCATAAAAATGGCCATACTGCCCAAAGAAATTTATAGATTCAATGCTATCCCCATCAAGCTACCAATGACTTTCTTCACAGAATTGGAAAAAATTTCCTTAAACTTCATATGGAACCAAAAAAGAGCCTGCATAGCCAAGACAATCCTAAGTAAAAAAGCAAAGCTGGAGGCATCCTGCTACCTAATTTCAAACTATACTATAAGACTACAGTAATCAAAACAGCATGATACTGGTGCCAAAACAGAGATACAGACCAATGAACATAACAGAGGCAACACAACATATCTACAACCATCTGATCTTTGACAAACCTAACAAAAGTAAGCAATGGGGAAAGGATTCTCTTTTTAATAAAGGGTGTTGGGAAAATTGGTTAACCATATGCAGAAAGCTGAAACTGGATCCCTTACTTACACCTTATACAAAAATTAACTCCAGTTGGATTAATTATTTAAACATAAGACCTAACACCATAAAAATCCTACTGGGCAATACCATTCAGGACATAGGCATGAGCAAGGACTTCATGACTAAAATGCCAAAAGCAATGAAAACAAAAGCCAAAATAGACAAATGAGATCTAATTAAACTTAAGAGCTTCTGCACAGTAAAAGAAACTACCATCACAGTGAACTGGCAACCAACAGAATGGGAGGAAAAAAATCTACCCATCTGACAAAGGACTAATATCCAGAATTTACAAAGAACTTAAATAAATTTACAAGAAAAAAAACAAACAACCCCATCAAAAAGTAGGCAAAGGATATGAACAGACACTTCTCAAAAGAAGACATTTATGCAGCCAACAAACATATGAAAAAAAGCCCCTCCTCACAGGTCATTAGAGAAATGCAAATCAAAACCACATTGAGATACCATCTGATGCCAGTTAGAATGGTGATCATTAAAAAATCGAGAAACAACAGATGCTGGAAAGGATGTGGAGAAAAAGAAATGCTTTTACACTGTTGGTAGGAGTCTAAATTAGTTCAACCATTGTGGAAGACAGTGTGACAATTCCCCAAGGATCTAGGACCAGAAATACCATTTGACTCAGCAATCCCATTATTGGGTATATAACCAAAGGTTTATAACTCATTCTATTATAAAGATACATGCACATGTATGTTTACTGTGGCACTATTCATAATAGGAAAGACTTGGAACCAACCCAAATGCCCATCAATGATAGACTGGATAAAGAAAATGTGGCATATATACACCATGAAATACTATGCAGCCATAAAAAAGGATGAGTTCATGTCCTTTGCAAGGACATGGATAATGCTGGAAACCATCATTCTCAGCAAACTGACACAAGAACAGAAAACCAAACACTGTATGTTCTCACTCATAAGTGGGTATTGAACAATGAGAACACAGGGACACAGGGAGGGGAACATCACACAATGGGGCCTTCTGGGAGGTGAGGGACTAGGGGAGGGATAGCAGGAGGTGGGGGAATGGGGCAGGATAGCTTTAGGAGAAATACCTAATGTAGATGACAGGGTGACAGATGCAACAAACCACTGTGGCATGTGTATACCTAGGTAACAAACCTGCATGTTCGCACATGTACCCCAGCACTTAAAGTATAATTTTAAAAGAGACTGCTACTTGAAAACTGAAAAAAAAGAAGTAGTTTTATGGCACACAGAGAAGAAACAAGAGAATACTGATCAATTCAGTGTCCCATTTTATGGGACAAGAAAGGCCTAATGTTACATGGAAGGTTAATGACGGAAGAAGAAACCCACTACCCTGATTCCTGGGTCCTGGTGCTTGTCCTAATTATTTCTCTTTAAGGATCAAAATTGCTAAACATACAAGATATAACCTCAGACATATCAATACAACAATTAAGCTACCTGACATGTTATAAGTTAAATCCACAGCACATGGTGGCATCTGGATTAAAAATTATACAAATTTTAAGTGCTATCAAATTATTTCGTAATACATCCATATATAAACAGAAATAAAATTCATTTTATAAACCATAACAAAAGTAAAATTTTATTTTCACTAATACCATCTCTTCCCTTTTGTAAATACTAAAATATCTCATGCTTGTAGCTAAGCTAAAAGAAACAGTATGTGAAATTAAGAATGATCATTTACATCTTTGTTATAATAAATATAATATAAACATATTGGACCTTGACATGACCAGAACAAAAATTAAAACTCCATTTTAAATATATTTTATTGTAAATTCTATTAACTAGTTGCTAATGTTGTTAGAGTTAATAATTGCTATTTATTTTTCAGATTATCTTTTCACATCAAAATAACTTGGTAGCTTTTATACTTACTATAAAATATATTAAAATTATTAAAGAGATATTAAACTGTAATGAAAGTTAATTCTTTATCATACCGACCTTTCTATGTTCCTGTAGGCTTGATGCTGAAGAACACTTTTTATTGCACACTGAACATATAAGCTTTTTCTTAGGATCTCCTAAAACAGAAATAAAATACCATCATGATTTAAATGAGACTAAGAGGAGAAACAAATAGTATTTCGAGGTGATATGCAAGTTCATCTTCATAAGTTAGAATTCTAAACTATTCAGTGTTGTAGATATATCCATTACACTTAAAGAGTAAGTTGTATTTTAAACCTTATTTTTAATTAGAGAAAAGATATACAAATTTACTTAACATGTATATAGAGGAGTCTTCAGAATAAAGACCCAACCTCCCAAGAGAATGCAGAAGCTTATGTTCCTTTTCATAACTTTTGATTATTATGGGTACATAGCAGGTGTCTATATTTATAGGGTATATGTGATGTTTTGATACAGGCATGCAATGTGTAATAATCACGTCAGGATATCCATCACCTCAAGCATCTATCATTTTTTTGTGTTAGGAACATTCTAATTCTATTCTTTTAGTTATTTTAAAATATGCAATAATTTATTGTTGACTATAGTCACCCTGTTATGCTATCAAATAATAGATTATATTCATTCTAAGCATATTTTTATACCTATAATTATCCCCATTTTATTCACCCTGTCCTTGCTACCCTTCCCAGCCTCTGGAAACCATCAGTCTATTCTCTATCTTCATGAGTTGAATAGTTTTAATTTTAGTTTCCATATATAAATGAGCACATGTGAAATTTGTGTATCTGTGCCTGGCTTACTTTACTTAAGAAAACTACCTTTACCCATTCTCTCATTGATGGACACTTAGGTTGATTCCAAATCTTGGCTATTGTGAATAGTACTGTAATAAACATGGGAATCCAGATATCTCTTCAATATACTGATTTCCTTTCATTGGGGTATATACCTAGCAGTGGAATTGCCGGATCATATGGTAGTTCTATCTTCAGTTTTGTGAGTAACCACCACACCACTGTCCACAGAGGCCGCACTAATTTACATTCCTACCAAAAATGTACAAGCATTCCCCTTTCTCCACATCCTCCCCAGCATTCATTATTGCCTGTCTTTTGGATAAAAGCCATTTTAAATATGGTGAGATGCTATCTCACTGGAGTTTTGATTTGCATTTTTTTCTGATGATTAATTTCTTTGAACATTTTTTCATATACCTGTTGGCTATTTAAATGTCTTCCTTTGAAAAATGTCTCTTTAGATTTTTTGTCCATTTTTTAATTAGATTATTTGATTTTTTTCCTGTTGAGTTGTTTGAGCACCTTATATATTCTGGTTATTAATCACTTGTCAGATGGGTAGTCTGCAAGTATTTTCTTTCATTCTGTGTAAAAGCTTTCTTTTTAAATTTGAGAAATCTTCATAGTTTAATATACCACTTTCTACATATATAAAACAGGCCATTCACTTTTCCATGTACTAATATGGTATAGTATTAAATCAGAAAAGCATATATCCATAAGGAATTAAAATCAAAATTAAAATTAACCAAATGTGTTTGTAACAGAAAAAACTAAATTTATCAATTCATAAAATGTGTTACTTTCTTTTATATTTCAACAGGATATTTTATTTAATCAGCTGGGTTTTTAAGATAGAATTTATAGGCTATTCTTTCCAGCACTGGAGTCTTATACAATCTCTAAGTATATGTTTATCAAATTAATTTTAAGAAATAAAGTACAATAAAACAATATGTTGGCAATCATACTATTACACAATTAAAGCCCAATTCTGTCTTCTTATGTAGTGATTATGTTTATAGTAGCTCATTTCATATTTCAAATTTTGCAGTTATAGAAATGAAGAGGCAAACATTATTAAATGTGATATAATAACAATATCAAATGCACCACAATGAATAAGCACAAAATGTGTTTTCAATTTTTAATTGGCTGATTTCAAATATCCAAAAAGTAAGCATATAGTATAATGAATCACCATGTGTCTATCACCTGGCCCCAACAATAGCTCACCATGGCCATTCCTGCCCCAACCTCAACCCCAACCACACCCCCATTTCTCTATGTTTTTAAGCAAATCTAAAATACAACCATCATTACAAAATGATTTCATTTTATTATAGGACTGCATTTATGAAAAAGAAATACACTGTGAAATGGCAAATATGAATTTTTGTCTTATTATTCAAGATGTCTATTATATTTAATGCACTGTTTTTAGCAGACTAAATATGATAGTCAAGAAAATGCTTCTTAGTGATTGAAAAGTAACATGGCTTCTAAAGGAGAAAATTCTCCCAGGCAAAATGATTATCTGATAGCATATTTTTGGTCATCAATCTCCTAAACATATCATACAAGAGGCACCATTCAGAAAGAATATTCCCTCTTTTCCAGCTCCCACTAGTTGGTTGGTCCATCTTCCACCCTTACCTTACTGCCCTGTTCTAGCCCTCGTAGCAGCTGCTCCTTGATACTAGGCCCAATTCCTTCACACTGGGTAGGTCAGAGGAGGAGAGAGGAGATAAAGAATTAGATTTTTCCACCCACCCCTCTCACTTTATCCCTGCACTCCTGCCATGACTCCACCTGCAGGTATCAAACCCCCATCCCCACTCTTCAATTTTCTCTCTCCTTTCATGGCTGCTCCTCTTGTTCACCATAGAAGAATCCTAGTTCCTCTGAGAAGACACACAGGAAACAGGTATGCCTATTCATCTGAGAATGTAGATAAATGTTATCTCCCATAAATGCAAAGTCTCTTTGTCTGCGACCATAGAATCTAAGCAAAAGTGAAAGATGGGAAGTGATTGAGGAGGTTGGCCCCCTCACTCTCTATTTCTTCTTAGGTAACTGTGAGGACCCTCACTGCTCTACCAGGTCCCCTAGGCTCATGGATATCAGAACCAACAAAGCCATACCTAGATGTTATACTGTCTTAACTTTCCTATGTAGGTAAATCTGATATTTGACTTTCAGATTTAACTTTCAAAAACATTAAGGAACACAGTATTTACACCAGTAAGCCATGTGAGGAAATGAATACAACTGTACTGAACAGACAATCACTTCAGTATTCAAGTTTCAACACATTGTGGGCTAAGTTTCTGTGGAAAAATGTGATCCATATTTAAAAATTCAGCTTCTCTCTAATCACCATCCTCAATTCATATTACCTTAACAAAAAAACATTTGCCATCACAGATCTCCTTCTTTGAGTGCCTTTGCCTTTCTATAATAATTGATTCTACAACCACGTATATGAAAGCTTCTTTGCTTTGCTATCTCCAGTAGGAAATACTATTTCCTCAAATGCCTGTGTAGCCCATGGAGGAAAGGAGAGATGCAAGAGACATACTATGAATGAGATAATGACATCATGTACCAACCCCAGCAAAACATATGGCATAGTAACCTTTAGTTAAAATACAGCAAGATTTCACATTTTATATGGTTCACAAATAAAAATATATATATAAAACAAGATTTCCTTTTATGAATTATTTCCTTAAAAAATCACCATAAATTTCCAGATTCAGTAATATTACAATATGCAAGGCCAACTACAAGAAGCCTTAAAGAAACTGTGCTTACAGCACAGCCTGAAGACCACATGCACAGTAATAAGAATGCAAGTTTCCAGAGCTTCATATGCATCTGGTTTTTTACTTAGTTCAGCAAACTTAAACTTTAAAACTGACATGAAAGTTCTATTACAATGTATTGCAGACATAGATGAAGAAAATTAAGAATAGCATTTTAACTAGAACAGCATTGGAAATCAAAAAACAATAAAGGCAAGTCTATCAAAAAGTATTATTGCATTTTGCAATCATAGGGAATGTCCCACTATACTGAATTCAGAAAAATGCCATCTTCCCTAAATCAGCCAATATTCTTCAAAAGGAAAGAAAGAAACCAGAACACTGTAAAAGCCTAGTGATGGGCACCAAGCTGGAGGTGCATTTCACAAGGCCCTACTTCCATCACACAGAGCTTTCACCATAGGTCGCACTTAATATGCAGCCCAACCAATGATCCAAAGTCACAGCTAGCAGTTGTGCTCATGGAAGCCTCTGTTACTATATTATTAGTAAAGTTAATACTTTTTGGACAATAAACAAACATAAGACACAGATGCTGGGCGCAGACTATCATCTTCACCTGAATGTGAGAATAAATAACTGAAGAGAGAAAAGAAATCCACTTTCCCCTACATCCAGAGACACATATCCACCCACTTCCCAGAAGTCAAGGGCAAAAGTAAACACATGAGCAAAGAATATGCACAGAAGAACATGCAGGGTTTCATAACTCTCAACCTCCTTTAAGAAGGAAATCTACAGAGGTAAAAAGACAAGAAGTAAAAAGTTAACTGGGACAATACAATCATCTATTCAACCCACTACAATAGATTCAATTCCTAAGCCAAAATATATTTACTGTCAGTGTACTATGTGCTAAGCAGATAAACCTAAGTGACAGTCAAATTTTATATCTGTTTTATTGTTTAGCTAGCTATTAGACGGAATTTGAATAATATTTGTTTAATTAATCCAAAGATATTCAATTCCAATGTCAAAATGTATTGGTAATTTTCTCTAATTTAGGAGAACTGTAAGCATTTTCAAAAGTTGGATTTTACTGTAAAAATAGTAAGGCAGAAGGACATCACTTAATAATAATAAATTTTAACAATTTATAAAAGAAATGTCATATGCCATAACATTTAAAATTGTTACTTAAAAATATTAATTCTTAATGCACCTGACCACCCAAACATAACTAGACTCTAACTAGGGCTTATAGCCATGCTTAGTTCAGAAATGGGAAAAAGAACAAATGCCTCTAAATTCAACTTGAGAAAGAAATAGTTTTCAGTGAAAGAAAAAAATCCACTGCCAGTGCTCCACATCTGTGTAAAACACAATGGAAAAGCCAGCTCTCTCCTCAAGAATGAGAATTAAAAACAGATCGCTGCAGCCTGGGGAAAGGAAGTCCCTTTGGAAACGACCCTCCAATGACTCCTTACCAGTGTGGACATTTTCCTGGTGTCTTTTCAGGGCATCCTTGCTCTTCAGCCTCTTTCCACAGCTGTCAGCCTTGCACACAAACCTGGCATCCCCGCGGCAAGTCTCCTGGTGCTGCTCAAAACTACAAGACAACCAGCAAAATGGAACAGGGAAAAGAAATGGTGAAGACATACCTACAAAACTCAAACATCACAGCAAGATTTTCTAATACATGCTCCCTAGCAGAGTTTCAGGGTCATTCCATGCATTACCTATGCAGGTAAGAAAAAAAGCATTTAAATTTTGTGGGCATGTGAAACTGGGTTACTAAGAAGCATAAAAGTGTGCATGCAAAAAATGACCCACAATTATATAACGGCCATCTCATAACAGAAACAAAACCTCGATGCTGAACTGAAGGAAGAATTGCAAACAGAGCACTGAAAACTTCGTGAAGACTCCTTCAGACTGCTTTTCACTGTGCACTGAAGAACACTAAAGGGAAATAGGAAAAAGATAAAAAAAACAAAAACTGGAACTCTAAGACAAAAATGAAACTATGCTAACTCTGAATAAAGTCATGTTTATGATCCCTTTTTTCATTCTGTCTTTTGCCTTTTCAAATTTTAGGAGTACCTTATTTAACTGTAAGCTTTTACTCAGCAGGGTGTCTTTGGCATAAATTTATAATACTAAATGCAATAAAAGCTAAATAGAATGCAATTTAATGTCCATTTATTTAAAAGCATATCACCCTTGCTTGTTTTTTAAAGAATGTATAGTAGAATTTATAAATATGTAATATCCTGCTACTATAATAGTTTTGATGCTCTGAACATTTATTAGGTTTTAAACACAATTTTTCATCTCAGTTTTTATAAGCACAAGTTGATGCATATAATAATTATACAGTCTTAATATGAAATGTAGCATATTTCAGAATTTTACTTCAACAAAACATAAAAATGTAACAGTAAAGCTTATATTAAAGAGGTCTTGCTCATATGTAAGGTGACATTCTGTTAAAATGAGAAGCTAAGGTTGGAGGAAGAAAGTAAATAGCAGGATGGGAGCACATAAGAGAAGAAAGACATGCTGATGAGATGGGACAATTTATATTACTTTGATATTGGAAGTAACTGGGTTCAACAAAATGATAGTCCACAGTTGCATCCAATATGTAAATATGCCTTTAAATTACTTAAATTCAATCATCTGATTAAAAACTTTAATGAGTAAAAAAACTTTACAAATGCATGTGCATTTCTCACTTTTAATAATTTCTGATCCTATAAAATATTTAAATAAAGATAATTTTATGTTGTTAATATAAATTGTTAAAGTAATGAAATGTACAGAGCTATGTGTGGGATCATTTAATTGTCATCTTGTTATATCCAGTACGTATGCATCTTTAAATTATTCCTCCAAAGTTGCTCTCAAATAAACAGTGTTTCCCAAAATGTCCAGGAATTCTTTATATTTTGAACTCTCTCCATTTCTTAAACTTTTCCTTAACAGATTCCAGAAGGAATATCAAATGTAGACAACTAAAACTGTTACTTCGAAGGACTAACTGAATTAGGCATATCTGAATTTTAGATTAAACCAGTAAACTTGATACATAATGGCAAATTATTAAATGGACAAAACTAATTATCAAAAACAGTGTTTGCATGTTAAAATCCATTGTTTGAATATTTCAAAAATCAAAATACTACACTAAGAAAAGATAAATTAATGACAATACCAATGTAAAATGCTTAATCACTCACATACACACAAACATGCGCCCTCCCACCCCCACCACACACACAGAGGTTAAAAACTATGAGTTAAGTCAAATGGAATAAACCGTATTAGCTTATAATTTTAAAGATATTCTTTAATATACGCACTGTCTTTGCAAAGCCTGCTTAACTGGGAATTTCTTCCCACAGCTCTTGCACTTAAATTCTTTCTCCTCTGTTGGTTTCTGGTGCAATGTCTGAAGATGCTCAGCAAGAATATCCTCACTGGTAAAACTCGATTCACACTGAGGACAAGCATAGTCCTCTTTACAGCCAAGGCCATCTGCATATTTACAAGGACACATAGTCATGAGATAAAAATTCAGAGCCAAGAAATGCTCATTTTTCCTCTCATTTTAAAACTGAAATTAACTCTGCTTATGATACCATATGAGTGAATTCTTATCACTATAAATATTAATCCTATTAGACACAAAAAGTAATAGCAAGTGTTACTAGAAATACATTATTTTCAAAATCACTTGTGCTTCACCAAATTAATAGATAATCAAATTCATTAATCAATTCACCCTATAATGTTAACTTTTCAGATCAAAGGGTTATTACAAATGTTAAATTACAAAACAAAAGCTATTCCTGAAATTGGTCATTTTTAAAAAGCTCACTTTTACCTTAACAAGGAGAAAAATCAAACTGAGGTAAACTATATTGAATTACCAAGGGGAATCTCACATACATGTGAAAAAAGACCAAGGTCATAAAAACAGTGCTGATTACAACTAGTATAGTGAATTAGGCTACACTGTCCCATACAGACTGGTGCATGTCTGACCAAATTTCTCAGTGTGCTATGTAAGTTACACATTTTTTTTTCTGATTATGAAATAAAATTAAATTTAGAATATGTGGAAAATAAAAAACACCAATAATCCCATCATGAAGAGACAACTGTCATAATACTACTGGCAAGCCTGACTTGCCTTTAGTGCATACATATTTTATGCACAGTCTAAGAAGAGGTAAATTTAGGATCATACTTTATATACAATTTTATATATTTTCCCATTTAACAGCATCTTATGTCAAACGTTGGTGTTTTTTAAAACTTAACGTACCATAATTAATTTAACGAAACTCTTCATTGTTAGACATTTGGGTGGCTTTCATTGTTTCTTTGGGTGAGTTTGTTTTTATTTTGTTTCTTTGCTTTTCTAAACAAGACCAAGAATTCTAAAATAAAAATAGCCACAGTACAAGTGCTTGGTTCAGATGTTTAAAAAAAAATTGTTTAAGTTTCTGTTGATTCTTTATACAAAGATAATGAAAACTGATATTTTAATAAATAAAGCAGAAAGCAGAGCAGTAATAGAAAAGTAGACGACTTCTTTTTAAATTAAAATAATGGACAAAATAACTCGCCCTGGGGGGTGACAGAGAAAAAATAAAATACACAAATAAAACAAAAAAAAACACAGAATAATACAGAAATAATTTCCATCACCCTAAATTTGATATTCCATATAGCATAATGCATATAACCCGGTCCTTATCTTCCCTTTAAATAACTCAATTAATGGTGACAGAAGACACTTTCTCAGCTAAGAACACGCAGTTGGAACAGAAAATATATAGGAAAAGCATTATTACCACTTTGATTAATGAAACCAGTATCACTTCTGAAGTGGCTTTGCTACTCAAAATGGAAAAGTACTGTATATTATCAGCCTACTATGGTCTGAATGTTCATGAATCCCCAAAATTCGTAAGTTAAAACTTAAAGCCCAATGGGAATTGTATTAAGAGGTGGGGCCTTTAGGAGGTGATTAGGTTGTGATCACCTGTCCTAAAGGATGGGCCTAATGCCCTTGTAAGAAAAGCCCAAGAGAGCTTGTTTGCCTCTTCTGTCACATGAGGACATAGCTAGAAGGTGCTATCTAATTAGAAATGGGCCCTCAGCAGACACCAAATCTGCTGGCAACTTGATAGACTTTCTAGGCTCCAGAAATATAAGCAATAAATTTATGTTGCTTACCAAGTATCTAGACTAAAGTATTTTGTTATAACAGCCTGAAAGTATTAAGACAAGGCCTGTTACAAAATGGCCTGTTATAGGGATACCTATAGCATCATGCATGAATCCCTTAAACTTCCCTTAGGAGTAAAACACAACATAATAGCAACAAGGCCAATAATAACTGATTATTCCCAGGAAGCTAACAAGCAAGTGGCTGTAGTATTGACTGAGGAAGGTCTAACCTATGGTCATTCAAAGTTTTTGGTAACCAAACTGGGGCAGCTTAGCAATCCTCCAGGCTTCTGTGATCAGAACAGAAGGAGACGCCAAGAAGCTGCAGGTTCCCAAAAGATCCCAAACCAGAGGAACCAATCCCCTTCGGATCCAGCAGGCTCTCTTGTGTACCTGACCTCCACACTCACCTTTTCCCATGTGCAGATGAGTAAGTAAAGTCTCAGAAAGTCAACAACTTGCCCAATATTACACAACTGATTAGTGGCAGAGCTAGGGCAAGACTACAAAAAATCCTCACTACTCGTTACCCTAGTGTGCCAGTGAGAGCGGTGAGAGCCAGGAGCTGCCCCAGCAGCGCACCCCTGCCTGTGGCCTAGGCAGTCCTTTGGGCACATCCATCACCCACCCCCAACATACTTTTCCTGCTCTAAGAAAGATGAGCTCACCACAGGATACCCTCTGAGAGTAATTTTGACAAAAACTAACTTTATTTGAGAATGCCATATTACAAGGCAACTATAATTCAACCACAGTTTAAACTACATTTTTTCTACTTCTCCCAGATCACCAATTAAAGATGTAATACCTTTTCCGCCTGCTGTTAATTGTCTTCTAGAATTTTCAACTTCCCCTTCTGTGATGACTGTCATAATTTGCTGTTCTTCCTCATCGGCCTCCATGTCACTATCCAGGTAGCCAATCAGAAGTTCTGTGTCTGTGTCTATATCTTCAACTGCCAAATAGAAAATGTTTTCTCCTTCCTGAAACAAATTTTTTTTCAAATGCTGAACCATTCATTTGTTTCTGATAGTAACTAAGAAACAATTTTAAGATAAATTAATGGAATACTATGTGCCCATGAAAAGTTATTACTTTTTAAAAAATAGTTCTAGTTGATCTGGGTGCTGAATAAGGTAGGTGACAATATTCAGTTACCTGGCAAATAAAATAGAAATACATATGACAAAAAGATAGCGGCATTTACACATGTCAAATTTTTTAAGTGAATTTTGCATCACTAATTGGCTTTATGTAAGTAACACTTTGTGGTGGCCTATAAATGCAGTTGACAAGCAAAAGTGTCATTTATACACCCAGAGAGCAATGAGATATCATTGAATTTCATTATTACTAACACTAACACAAAACTGAAAGAAAAAAAGGCTTTCAAGTTCTAACACAAGACAGAGGAAGTGCAAATAAGTTCGTTCCCTGAAAGAATGTACTAAAACCTGGTCCAGAAATAGAAAAAATACTAGACATCTGGGAAGTTCAAGGTGTTGACTGAGCCATCATGTGAACCTCACCTTGTTGGTCTCCCTAAATCCCACCAAAATGACAGACTCAAGAAGAAGAAGAAAAAAAAACAAGGTCCATCATCAACATATCAAGATATTTTAGAAAGTCCTGGAAAACAGAAATCAGACATAGTCAAAATAATAGATAACGAATGCAGAGGAAACCTCGACCAATAACAGACACAGAAGAGGAATGCTACAAAGAGCTTTCTTTCCAAGGAAACCCCAGAGAAACTTCCCACTTGGAATCAGTTGGTACAAAAGCCATGCTGGGCCTTGGGCCAATCACCAGGGAAGCCAGAACTAAAGCTGTAAAGCCGGCTGTCCCCAGGAGAAAGCACCCAGAATTGCTCTCTTTTACATAGTTGAGGATTTGTTCTGGGAGGGTTCCTAGTTTGGCTTCTGAGTATAAAGCAAAGCAAAACAGAGACTGAATTTATTGAACCTTCAGAGTAGGCAAAGGCAGGAAAGGACAAAGAAAATAAGCTCCACCAATGACTGAAATTCAATAAAGCACAGAGCACAGAACAAAGCCTTCTTTCCTTTGGCAATATCATAGCACCTATGTTAAAAATGAGGAGGAGGGAGACAAAGGGGGAGAAGTGAGAGGGAAAGTAAGAAGAGAGAGGGGAGAAAGGAGAGTGTATGCATCTATCAATTTACGTATATATGTAAACACAATTTGAACCTTCATGAAAAATTTCAAAGACATGCATCAAATTATTTATACAGTTATCATTTCAAGGATGGGAAAGGGGCTGTATTCAACATTGCTTTAGTTTTGGAGGGTTTTTTTTAATAAAAAGCATAGACTACTTGGTAATTTTAAAACAATATATATTTGAAAATTTCATGGAAGGGACAGAAATTATGATCATATTCATCCAATACTGTGGAAGAAAGGCTTGATTCACAAGTTCAAAGCACTGAAGCAAATGTAACCATGAGCTACCATTAATGCATAGACATTCCTATAACATCTTGAACACTACTGGAAGTTTTTTAATTTTATATATCTAAAAACATTTAAAAAGTTATTTTTAATTAATATCACTGAATAAACTTCTATACAATTGGTACTCTTAATGCAACAAAACAAGCAAAAAATATATAGACACTAAGAAAAAGAGAGGTCTCTTTAACTCAAAAGCAGCATTTTCCAGGTCTTTATTAGATGAGTTCTTAATTGTCTGGGTAACCCACTCACCTAATAAAGACTTCAGAATGCAATCATAAATCTTGTGTTTATCTGATCAATATCTATGAAAGTTAATTGAACTGTCACCCTAGTATATTCATGATTAATTTTGTGATGGTTTTGATAACACCAAGAAAAGATATTTTTAATTTTAAAACATAATACCATTAACTTAAACTATAATCCTAGGATATGGCATGTCTGTTTAGAGGCTCTGTAATAAAAGCAAATCTTTATATACCAGCTAAAACTTTAATTTAATGAAAGTAATGGCAGCATTACAGGCTCCATAGGACCAGCTACATGCTTTTTCTCTGTTTGCCAAAAATGTGATATCAAAAGGAATACAGTTACAGGTATTAATTCATTCTATTTATTTAATGGGGATGTCTGGATATCGTTGTACATATAATTCCAACCAGTGTGTAGACCAAGAGTCTCTTTCTTTTCATTTGCTACCCCAATACTATTAAGAAGTATCCTCTTATATCATGTTCTTGCATATACTGCACTGATTTTTAATCATCCTACAAATCCTGCAACTCTTCATCATGTTCTCCTCCTCCCTGCAAACCTCAGATTGACAAGGCCTGCCACATTAATAATTTCTGGAGTCATTCTGTCCACCTGGAAGCTCATCCCAGGCCTAATCTCCTGCCCTTTGGCAGGAAGGATTTAGAGTTGCTACAGTTTGGGTGTTTGTGCCCACAAACCTCATGTTGAGATTTGAACCCCAATGTTAGAGGTGGCGCCTAATGGGAGGTGTTTGGGTCATGGGGACAGATCTCTCATACATGGCTTCGTGCCAACCTCAGTGTAATGAATGAGTTCTTCCTCTATTACTTCCCCAGAGAGCTGATTATTAGAAAGAGCCAGGCACCCTCCTCATCCCCTCCTTGACCACTACACATGTTGGTTTCACCTCACCTTCCACCATGAGTAGAAGGGGCCTGAAGCCATCACCAGAAGCAGATGCTGGCACCATACTTCCATACAAGCTTACAGAACTGTGAGCCAAATAATCATTTTTTCTTTATACATTACCCAGTCTCAGGTATTCCATTGTAGCAATGCAAATGGACTAAGACAAGAATGTTGCCCCAGTGCTCTGGGACTCCATATCAGCTTCCTGTTGTCATGTGATTGTTACCCTAGCAATAACCTTGTGCTTCAGATTTGATCACTGGTTTAATATTCTGATCCTGAGATTAATTCTTTTTACTACATCTGTCATTTCTGGTCATTAGGTTATTCCCTTGAGCACAGTCCTTACTGGACCCCTTGTATATACACTTAAGGATTAGCCACCTTCCTGTGACTCTGCCTAGGGGCTGAGGTCCTGTTTGTGATTCAGGAAACTGGCACCAGGTGGTTCCGTTAAAAACACTTAGAAACTTGTTCAACATCAAGGCCTGCTCAAAAGCAAATAGTTTTCAGAGCAATAGTTTCCAGCCATCAGTTTTCAGAGCATTATAATTATATTTACAGAATGAATGGTTTTACAATTGTTATTCATCTCTTGTATTACTGCCTATTGTTTTGAATTTTTTGTCCTTCTTTAGTCTTGTTTCATTTTGCTTTATTTGCACGTTGTTTTTGGCTGATTACTTCTATTGCATACTGTTTGTAATATCAAAAAGTCACCACAGCCTAAAGGCCCAACAATGTAAGTTGAAAACAGTCAAATGTCCAAAAATTGGTTTTAAAAGATTTATCAAATGTCATTTTAATTTTTTAAAATGTATATAAATCAATATGCCCAAAAAAGAAAAAGATATGCAAGCAAAGGTATTAATTGGGCTGTCTCTAGTGGAGGAAATTGTGAGTATTTTGTATAGTCATCTTCTGCTACTTCACATTTTAAAATTTTTCTAGAATTAATTAATTCTTTTTTTTTTTTTTTTTTTTTTTTTTTGAGACGGAGTCTTGCTCTGTCTCAAAAGGCACCAGGCTGGAGTGCAGTGGCGCGAGCTCGGCTCACTGCAACCTCTGCCTCCCAGGTTCCAGTAATGCTCCTGCCTCAGCCTCCCAAGTAGCTGGGACTACAGGCGTGCACGACCACGCCCCAGCTAATTTTTTTGTATTTTTAAGTAGAGAAGGGGTTTCACCATGTTGGCCAGGATGGTCTCGATCTCTTGACTTTGGGATCCGCCCACCTCGGCCTCCCAAAGCACTGGGATTACAGGCGTGAACCACTGTGCCCAGCCCATTCATTTATTTTATGTATTACTTTTGTAGTTAAAGATAACAATGGATAATTAGTGAACCATGTTCCTTGATACCAGGAAGCAGTACTACATGACGATCAAAGAGAGCATGGCTTTGGGCTGCTCAGGGTTCAAAGTCTCACTCGAGATTGACTTGCTATGTGACTGAGCTTAATCTTCCAAACCACCAATTTCCTCATCTGTAAAATGGAGAAGATAGTAGTGCCTATCTTGTACAATGGCTTCGAAGATTAAAGATGGTAATATCTGCAAATCTAGCAAGACGCCCTACATATGGAAAGCATTCATTAGTGATAGCTACTATCATTACTATTTAACAAAAACTTGAATGCCAGTGGTTAACATACTCATTTTGTTCCCAAAGTCTGTTTCAACCAAACTATCTCAGAAAGTTGCTTTCACCATGTTGCTTTTGATTACATTTTGTTTGGCCAAAATGCTCTCAGTCAAAATATAATCCAGGTCTACTGTCTGCCTAGCAGAGCTCTGAAATGCTCTGCCCTGGATCTCCTGTTGTCATGCTCTGGATCCCCTGTTAGCATGCTAATGTGTTGTTCTGGTTTGAACTCAACTCCACTTAAGATTTCCTAAAAACAGTATTCACTAGGTCCACCTCCTTCACCATCTCCAGGTCCAGATCAGGATTCTCTACATTTAGGATGACTCCAACAGCTTACCAAGTGAACTCTCATAATCTGAATTTTCACGTCATTCTCTTATCGCCAATCTCCTTCAAATATGCCTGCTCTTTTTCCATTCAACTAGTACACTTCTCAGAAAACACTGAGCTAATTTCTACCTCAGAACAACTGCAAAGATGCTACTTGGCCCCCTTGCTGTAACTCCTCCATGTTCTCTGAGACACAGCTCACTTTCGTCCTCCTTCAAGAAACTTTCTCTAAGCTACTAAATTCATGTAGAAACTTTTAATTAGGAGTTCTCTATATTAACTGCCTTCACTTCAATTGTTACTATTTACTTCTGTGGCTTTTGTCACTTCATTCATGTAGTCAGTGAATTCTAATATGTGTTGCTCC